ACGGGCTCCAGTGGCAGTGACCCTCACTGCGAACCCGTCGGGTGCCCCAAACTCCGCGGGAGTTACCGCCCCCTTCAATTTGGCGAGGACCTCGCCATACGTCACCCCCTTTTTTGCCGCGTCCGGCTGTAGTGTGATAACTACAGCCGAAGATTTTGGGGCGAGGAGCATTGCCGCAGCGCGCTTCTCCTTGCGCCGCTGCTGTCGCCGCTGCCGCTGCTCCTTCTTGCGGCGCTTCCTCGCCTCCTTGGCGACCTTCCTCACCTCCCCCGCAACTTGCCACTCGCTACCAGCACGCGACTCAGACGGCGGAGTAGGTGCCGATGCGGCTGGGGCTTCAGCCGCTGCTCCTCTTCGTCTGCGGCTCATCGGCGCAGGAGCCAGCGCCGAGGGAGACTCGGGCGCCCTCGTCGGTGGCAAGGCTGGCGGCGCTTTCGCCCCCTTCTTCACCGGTGCGCTGGCTTGTGCCCCACGGCTGGTTGGCGGCTTGGGCTTAGCCGCTGCGGCAGCATACGACCCGGCTGCGAGTGGAGGTCGCAGGAGCCTACCCTCCAGCACGTCGAAACGCTGCTGGAAGGCGGCCATCTCCCGCCGCATAAGGCCGAGAAGGTCGGCCTCCGCTGGCTGCGCAGGTTGGGATCGGACTCCCCGAGCTGCGGCGAGCTCTGTTTTTGCTGCCCGAAGCTCCGCCTCCAGGGCAGTATTGGCAGCCACCAAGCGGGATAGCTCCCGCCGCATTCCAGCCAGCTCTTTTTGCATAGCGGCCATCTGCCGCTCAGCTGAGCCCGGCTGGGATACCGCCGACATAATAGCGGCTTCCGCGTGTTTAAGCACTCCATTTCTGCCAGCCTGGGTTTTTTGCCCAGCCAGAGTGCTTCCTTTACTTGTAGGCGGAGGCTCTCAGCGCCGCCTACAGAACCCTCACCACCGGAGGCCTCCATCTCCGAGGAGTCCGAGGGGGCAGCCTTTCCCAGGGCGCTCCCCTCCGCTGCCAGCCGCTCTGCCGGCTCAGATCGGCTCCCGGCCGCCCTTGTGGAGCCCTTCCCCTTGCCCCTACCCCGCGCAGCCGTGGGGATTTTGGGGGCTGGAGCCTCCTGCTCGTTCGAAGACGGCTCCAACCTGGGACGTTTAAAAACGCCCCGGTCTTTCTTGTGGCGCAGCGCGATGCTGACGCCAGACAATGATGAGTCGGACTCTGAGTCCGACTCCTTCCTGCTAGAGGCACGTGCACACGATGCATCTAGCGCCTCGGTTATATTCGCAAGCGAGCTGACCTCGCTTGCGTTCTCCTCACCGTTAGGTGGATTTTTATTTTTGTTTTTAGGTATCTCCATTGAAGTCCCACGAGTATGGGGGAAATAAGAGGTCCGCCCAGGGAGAGCCCCCTGTCCCTGGGTAAGTGTGCATTTGTCTCCCAACTAGGGGGTCCACCGGTCCCCTAGCTGGGGGTGCGCTCACGACTGATCCTATTCCTCAGCCATACATACCCTCGCCGCGCACCAGAACTTAGTATTGGAGGAATTTTTTATAGAGGTTATCTTCCTCGCGGTCCGGGCGGTTAAGCCAAGACCCTCGTCCCGGTCCGAGTCATAAAACATGACCATGATCTCTTCCCGGATTACGATATCGACGGGTGCAGTCGGGCGCAGCTAGTGCCCCGATGCTACTCATTGGCAGGGTGAGTGCACAACGAGCGCCGCCCTTGTTTCTCCACCCCGCTCTCTGCTAGGTCCAGAGAGTCGTGCGGAGGAACGCCCCCACGGAGGCGTAGACTCTATGCCAGCATAGAGCCGGTCGCCTCTAGAACCCGACCGGGTTCTCCGCCCGGCCAGAAGTTCGCTGCGGGCGACAGTCAGTCCAACCCTGTCACCATCCCGTTAGGGAGACTGTCGCCCGCACCCAGGGTGCACCACGGGGAGGTCTTCTGGCACGCACCCCATGACCAGCAGTGTGGCTACGCCTTTCAGTATTCTATTTTGACAGGCTATGCATGTATATAGCCTGTCAAAATCATAACCCCCTTTTCGCTTTGTCGTAGTCGGGTAATAATTAACCGTGCCTCGACCCGGAGCAAGAGACGAAATGAAGTGGTTTTAAGTCAGTAAGAGTCTGACACTCTCTTGAGATTAAATGATTTCACTTTCTCAAAAAAAAGTACCTATATAACCTATACCAGGAAAACAATTGATCATCATGATAAACTGCCAGTGGGGGGCATTTATCAATAAATCTAATAACACAGCATAACAATATGTGTCAGAAATGCCGACACAAACACTTGACTGCTTCGATAATATGCAGATAACATCATAATACTCTTCATATAACTTACTTCGACGCTTAATAAACAAGTCTAAAACTACTACTGCTTGAATTGGCTCAATAGTCGAGTTGTGTCAAGATATTTGATTCCTCTTTCAAGCAAATTTTAAATATGCAAGGAACGAGCGTACTTTTTCTTAAAAGGCGCCTGTGTGTCCTCTAGCGTTGCAGGTGTCTATGAGCAACTCTGATCACTTACCATCATGTGATCCTTCTGGTCGCTTGCCTCTTATTCGATTTCAAGTGTTGTTAAAATTCTCAGTAATGTTGCCCGCTTTGTGGCAAGGGTGTGAGGTCCGTGTAAGTCTTTACACGGACCTCACAGCATGGATATATTTTTAATTATGTGATATGTACAAGCTCTGCCTATCCTTTCGGCGTTTAAAATGTGTGGCTTTATGATGACGTATCTTTTACAATGATAAGGTTCGCACGAAATCTCTGAATGCATGTTGCATCGACTGATCTTCAACGTCTTGTAAATGATTTGATGATATTTTGTTCAGTAGCTTTTGTGTACTAAGTAAGCAATTCATTTTAAAAAAATACTTATATATATATGTATATATTAATGAGAAAAGCTCTACTTGTTTCAAGTCACACTTATTCTTGAGCAGTATGCCGCCGCTTTTCTCGGATAATTCTTTAAAAATTATTAGTGCTGTGCTCTGTCAAATCATGTGAGAAAATCGTTATTTTCATTATTCTACACATATAAAGGTATATTAAACGCGATCAAGACTTCTTCAGTAATGTCATGCACATTAAAATCTAGTATATTAACTTAAAACAAAAAATATACGTACCATATATCACCCTCGCGATGGGACTGAGACTTAAAGAATAATTATTTTGAGATATCCAATTGGGTCTTATCATTTTGAGTCCAATGTTTAGCACTACACTCATTTAAAATTCACTTATAGTACAGCTTAGGTAAACGAAGTACCTAAGTAATGAACGCCACTAATAAAGTATATCACTCACGAAATTTAGGTAAACCTTTTTGAAATAAAACTTTTCGCGCCTTGATTCACTGCTATCTATTTTATAAAAAAAAAAAGATTATCATACCATAAAAGTTTTCAAAAAAAGAATTATAAACACAAATAATTTGTCAATTATTATTTTTAATGTTGTTTTGTTTGTCCAAGAGCGGCACGTGTAAGTGACGCAGGCTGCACTGTTCATATATTTTCACATTAATGGAAGCCAAATTATCAGATTTCATGTGCCATGAATCATGGTATAAATGATAAAGGACTAATCTAATGGTTTTTGTTGCAAAAACAATTAAATAATACCTATTGTTGGTTTATTAAAGTCTTTTAAGTTTGATTTCAATTAAGAAAGCTATTATTTATTTGAATTTATATTGTGTTAGATACTGACTGTCAAATTTAATTATTTTAAATAAATGTATTTTACATGTTACGTTATAGTAAGTATGATTTATACTGAAATATGAATATCATGTTATGTTTCTATTAGTCTACATACTTAATTAATAAATTGACATATTTTCGACACTTTCGTATGAAAAAATGTAGAATATGTAAATCTAAATTCTCCTGTTAAAATTTTAGATTAAAAAACTTGTGTCATTTTCTCGTATTGACATTTTAAGACATTATAAGTCCGTGTCACAACACGGACTTTTAATATCTCAACTTGTGCATTTCTTTTAGTATTGAGTTTCTAACGTAAATAGATAAAAGTATATTTATTAAATAAATATAATTTTAATCAAGCAATTGTCTTCGTGGCTAGAACACGAATGGAAGATGACACCAGACACATTGAAAATGATTTGACGCATTAACATAAATAAGTTATAAAGTTTGACAAAATAAAAACAACATTAGAGGTTTTACTTAAGGAAATACACACGGATTGTTAGTTTGTCACACAACATTTACTTTTTACAGTCTCTTTCCTTGCTATTTTTTTCTAGCATAGAAATCACCTGATGATAAGTTATCAGCGCCGCCCATGGACACCTAGGGCTCTAACTAGCCCTAACTAGGCCTAAAAATAGGATATCCAAGGCTGAAGGCAGATGGAGGATAGGCCCCTAATAGCATAACCTCTAATAAGTTATAAAAACGTGTTTGTTTCATAAATAAAAATTTCAATAGATATATGAAATTATTCTAGTTAGCTATGCCTTGCAGTTTAAGGTTCAGTATGTTAATCGAGGATAGTGCAGCTTCTCAACATTGAAATAATTCTTAAATCGGTCAAGTGGTTTCGAGGGTTATGCGATGCAAACAAACTGACTGCATGGTTGGTGCGGTGGCTGCCGCGCAACGTGTCGCGGGTTCAATTCCCACACGGAACAACAGACTCTTTGTGTGATCCACAGATTGCTGTTTCGAGTCTGGGCGTGATGTGCATGTGAAAATTGTATGTTTGTAAACGCACCCACGACACAGGAGAAAATCCTAGTGTGGGGCAACGTTTTCATATACATAAAAAAAAACAATTAAACTATAAAATCTTTCTATTTTATAATATTGTTCCAATTAGTAGTTCTCAGAACTGAACATCCGTATGTCACACGTGTAATAAGAAATGTTTTTTATATCAATAATTTTGGTACAAATAGCAAACTTTATGGACCACTTTATCACCTTCCTGAAAGCCTAAAATGGACGTAAAAACAATATAAAACTATCATGTGGGTGGCAAGGTCAAAGGTCAAAGTGAGTGGATATTTACGAATTAACTAATTTGTTTTGTTTATGGAGACTCATTAAAGTAATTTGTTTGTTTGTTTAAACAAAAAAAGTCTACTTAAGTAACTGATTTAAGGTAATTTGGTCCAATTTATTGTTTTGGAAGCCATTAATTGCCTATTTTGTCGATGGTCACTTGGTCGGAACTTCGGAAGTGCGATTACCAAACTAGAAAAGGTCGCCGAATCGAGTCGAATATTCCCAAAATAATACGAAGGAATGTAATATCTGTAAGCTAATGTGGACCTACTTAAGTTTCCAATATAATGAAATAAAAATACAATTCGATTTTTAAATTTCAATCCTTAACCATAGCTATAAAGCTCGTTTACAGTACTGTTCAAATATTTAAAATCAAAATTCGAACAACCATTCTAATTCTTAAATTAATATTCGAAAATAACATTACTGACCTTCCTTTCTCATTTTAAATATCGAAGCTTTATTGATACATAGATAGTACTTACTGGCTAGAAAAATACTGAGAATGCTGTCGGCGGCGTCAACCACAGTCTAAACAAATAGCACAGAATGTAAACACACCAATGACGTACATTTGTTATTGTACCACGATTTTACTTTGTTATTATTTTTTCTGTGACTAAACTTCATTTTTGATGACTAGTATAAATAAATATATAGACTTTTTAAATAATAAGACTAAATATGTTACTTTTGGGCTCGAATTGTACCAACATTCATATTTGGGCCTTATCAGCATTCAGTGATTCATCAATAACGATACTGGCCGTTTGATTAACAGCTAAAAATTAGTTAATACTTTATTGACTTGCGAGTGTCAAAAATAAAATCCTTTCTAAAAGTCTCGTTAAGTACCACCGCCGGGTAAGTTCTGATATCCTAGTACTTTGCAAATAATATTACGCTTGTTATTTCTGAAAGGCAAAGATTATTTACACGAAATTTTTTCACCAAAAAGTTATTAAATCTTGAGAGTTTTAACAACAATTCCCCATTATTATAGTTTAAAAAAAATTGTTCATCTTTCTTTCCACTTTATATAATAATCATGATGTACAAAATACGTTGTGTCAAGTCAATCACGAGTTCAATAAAGGCTGTATTTAAGGGCGTGAACCCCTTGAATAATTAACGAACTACGTACACAAACAATTTATTACCAAAACAAACACCATCATTTGTCACTGCTGTGTTTAATTTATTTATTGTCGTATAACAGACACACCCACGACTTAAATTACTACTGACGCGATTTCAACAAGGACATTTTGATTCAATAAAAAATCTAAAAATATCGATTGATATTTACATAGGTACATACCAAAACAAGTAATATTTTATGTATTTGTCCCAAACAATGCCTAATCTGTGCCCAACTTTCGATGCAACTACACAAGGCAATGCATACAGCGAACTCCTTGAATTTCTGCGGCCCTAGTACAAAATAGCTACAATAGTTAAGTCAGATGCACTACAAAGACCTCCCTGAATTTCTGCAGCCCTAGTAGAAAATAGTTAACAGATACACTATTTTGTATGCCAGAACTTGTAAATTAATTATATTTCCAATGTTAATCTAACTAAGAAAAAAATTAATCATCTGAGGCCAAAAAATTGTATCGTCTAATTATTTTATGTTTAAAGTTAAGAGCTAGCTAAACCTATAAATGGTTTAATAAGTAGATAAGTAAGCACTGAATTTTGTACACAATAATAGGGCTGAAATCTTCTGTATGGAAAAAAGCCCTTTTAATAAAATAAAGATTAAAAAAAAAAAACATATTTGTTTCCAGTTACGTCAGGACTTCTTATTCATGACCCCCGTGTGAATAAAAATTACCATTCCGAATTATCCTTTTAATAGATGCAAGAAAAGCTATTAAAAACTGTACGTGCATTATAGATCTGCGGTTTAAAATCACATATCGACAGTCTCAATCGTCGATACTATCCGCATTGGCATAGTTCTAATATTAATCATTCATGAGATATGTTTGCATCGAAATCACTCCGGATACATTCGTTCGCGGGTGCGATGAAATATATTGTAACGACTATCAACATGAAACACGCGAGTTTCATATTAATACGGAAACGACAAGCAGAATCGAAAGAATTTTACAAAACCCAAAAACTTGTTTAAGAAGCTGAGGCTTTATTTTCTGTTAGGGGAAAATCATCACTCAGTCACAGTCAGACTCTTCCCATTTATTTAGCCCCACATTGTAAATTTTATGCCCTCTTTTTTTCGAGTGCGATTATTAGGCGAGGAATTGTCAGACTCTTACTGACTAAAAACCAACTCATATCTTCTCCAGATCCAGACCGAGACCGCGGTACATTATCGCGCTTCACCTCGACTGTCCCTTCTCAGCCGGGGCTGCGGGGTAAACGCAATGAGGCACCGCGACCTCGGCCCAGAGCAGGAGAAGAAACAGGGGGGTTTTAGTCAGTAAGAGTCTGACTGACACTCCCTCGCGCCCGGCCCTGGGCGGGAGAAGTCATTTGATGATTTTCCCCTTCCAAAAAAAAAACCCCGACTGTCCCTTAAGCTACTTCCAATTCAAACAGCCATTTAATTAGTTCTTTACCAAATTTAAAACAATACTAATCAAATTAAAACCATACTCACTCATTAATAAGGTTGTTATTGCGCATAAAATCGTATAGAGGTGTGTCTTGTGACGTCATAGATAATCGAATTTTTATGTGGATAAATATTTACTGTTATCGTTTTGGACAAATAAGTGTTGACCGAGGGAAAGTTTTTCATGAATCAGTTGACAGCAGAGGTCAAAAGGTCATTAGAATTTATAATCCTATTAACTTTAACTTAATTATAAAAAAAAATCATATGTATTACTTTTTTTAAAAAATGTCTTTCTAGATCGAGCTAGTAATGCTAGTTTCAAAGTACATTTCTAGATGTTGTTTTTTTTTTAATTCTGTCACATAATCGAGTAAATAAATCTATCTCTTGTCTCCTTTAGCACCTATCTCAGAGTTCTAGAGTAAAATTCCAACTATTTCTTACACAATTCACTGACAAAAATCTTTTGTGTTTGACTTATAATATGTACATATACATAAATAATACTTGGTGTAACATTCTTTTCAAATACACGATTGTATGAAATGTCAACTTATGACAACTCTATTTATCGAAATTCTAAAGACTTTTTGAAGTATAATACTTTTATTGAATAGTAAAGAACACATAAATCAATTTTTTTCATCATTTCCTGGTTTTATAAAAATACACGAATATCCTCAAAATAAATAATCTACCCATCTATCATTACTGATGGATAATGAACGAAGATGTATGTATATATTATGATGAAATGATGATTCATGTATATTGATAGATTTGGTACAATTCAAAAGTGTTGTTTAGTGTTCTATTTTTAACGATTTGTCTAATATATCAGTTGCTAGCGGTTTATAAAAAAAGATGTTTTAAGTGTGGGAGAGCCATGCTTCGGCACAAATCGGTGGGCTCGACCGGAATGATACCACGGCCTCACAGAAAACCAACGTGGAACAACCACAGCGTTGTACTTCGCCTTATGAGTGAGGTTACCGGAGGCCCAATCCTTCCAATCCCCCGATCCCTCTCTAATCCCTAAATCTCCAAAACCCTAATTCCTTAAAGGTCGGCAACGCACTCGTAACTCCTCTGTTGCAATTGCAATCACACCTCCCATGGGCGGCGCTGATTGCATACCATTAGGCCCCGTACCCCGTCTGTAGGTTTGCCGACCTATTACATTAAAAAAAATGACGATTAAAGAAGTAGGTGTTTCTATCTGTAAAATACATGAATATTATAAATTCTCTCTCCTCTTATGATTATTATATTATCATAAAATACTAACTACTGTCCCGCGGTTTCACCCGCTGCTCCTGATGTTGTATAGCCTATGGCCTTCCTCGAAAAATGAACTAACAAACACAAAAATAATTATGCAATTCAAACCAGTAGTTCCGGAGAATAACGCGTTCAAACAAACAAACTCTCTAAAGCTTTATAATATTAATATGAGAAGCTATAATTAACTGTTTTTTTTTAATGTCATCTGTAGAGAAATGCGGGTTTGTTAGATATTTCAGAATTCATTTCGGGCAAGGAAGCGATGGATTGATCTTCAATAATACCACTAACACGGTGTGAAACGGTGTTTTCTAAAAGACGTGATGTCATTATTAACCCCCTACCCAAAGATCTCATGATGCACTTATTTATTTTGACAATAATTCAAGAAACTGAGTAACTTGTACTCATCAGTTCTAGAAGAGAAATACGTGTGATGTTATACACGTTTCAAGATAGGATTTAATTCACAAGCTGTGTGTATCAAAGGCAGGCTTTTGCCTCAAAGCGAAACTCGCAGTACCTACTGAAGTCGAGCCAAGCGTAATCTGAAATACGTGCTATCTCATCTAGTTTAAAGCTTTTTAGCGATGAAAGCGAGATAAAGAATCTTCTTAATATCTTTTCTTTTTCTTTTTTTATGTGATAGGTCGGCAAACGAGCAAACGGATTACCTGATGGTAAGCAATCAGCTTCGCCCAAGGACACCCGCAACGACGGAGGAGTTACGAGTGCGTTGTCGACCCTTTAGGGATAAGGGTTTTGGAGATTTTGGGAAAGGGAACGGATTAGGCCTCCGGTAACCTCACTCACACGGCGAAACACAACTCTTTTGGTTACGCCGGTTTTCTGTGAGGCCGTGGTATCAATCCGGTCGCGCCGACCCATTCTTGCCAAAGCATGGCCCTCCCACATTTCCTCCTTTCTCCCACATCTTCCTTAATCTTATAGTTATCAAAATACTAGCTACTGTCGACTCCTACAGATCCTATCTTATCTTACCTATCTTAAGCCTATCTCAAACAATCACAAAAAGAACAATCAATTCCAGTCCAGTCGTTCCGGAGATTAGTACGTTTAAACAAACAAACAAAAAACTTTGCAGCTTTATAATACCTACAGATGAGATATTAATGTAGATTAGACTGGTAGGTTGACACAGTGGCTGGGCAACTGTCTAAATAATCCTGAATAGAAGAGGAATGCTAACCGTGGAAAAGAGGATACGAACAGTGGATTATGAGCTGATGATTACGATAAGTTTATATTAAGTATCAGTTTTCGAACTAGTTGACATATAATAGGGAGAAATGTACATGATGTGTCAAGGAATATATTATAACTCGTGTGAGGGACTGTATAACTAAAGGAGGGTTGTGGTTAGATGATGCACTATGCATTTGACTGCATGATTAGCGCGGTGGCTGGGCAACGTGTCGCGGTTTCGATTCCCGCACGGAACAACTCTTTGTGTGATCCCCAAATTGTTGTTCCGAGTCTGTGTGTAATGTGTAAGTGAAATTGTATGTTTGTTAAGCCACCCATGATAAAGGAGAAAATAATAGTGTGGGGCAACGTTTTTTTATAAAAAAATAAAAATTGTGGCTGGCCGCGTTTTTAATTTGGTTTGTTTATTTTATTAGCACAGTTTTATAGGTATACTTAATTGTTCCATCCCTAACCATTTCACTTATCGATTTTCATACATAAACACACTTCAGTACTAGGGCGGCATAAATAAACAGAAGTTAAAAGTTTGCAACACGAACCAACATAATGCCGGGTTTGTATCCACAACATTGTAAATGTCTTCGTGCGCCTGTCACAGATTATACCACAATTTTGAATAAGGAATATAAAAATATTATTGTTTTTTCACACAACGGACAAGTCTTTTAAAACACTAGACATAATATTTTATATATTTTTACAAATTAATTGAAAAATTACGCTTTGAGTGAACCAACTTCCCTGAGCATAAATGATCTACTAATTTAGTGTCGTGTTTCGAACAATTAATATACATCGTTGTTGACACGCACCTTAAATAATTACTATTTACGTAACAAATAATTTTACAACCAGTTGCATGTGAACATGCCATATTATTTGTTTAAAAAGAAATTATCAGATTTGAAATAATCCATCTAACTGTACATTGGCGATATAAAAATGGCTTCCGCGATTGGCACTCCAAATCGACAGTCTATTATTTTGATAATGATGACGATGATATCGATCATCATGAGTCCATACGTCTACTAATTAATATAGGATTCCGTTCTTCCCATCAACGGTATTAAGACCGTTGTTTTATTTAAACGATTCCCTATGTAACAACTTACGTAGACTCGATACAACTAATTGTAGATCACAAAAGTGTTGGAAACTTAAATGTAGGAGAGCAATTCTTTAGCTCAAATGGGTCGGCTCGACCGGTGTGATACAACGGCCTGACAGAAAAGCGACGTGAAACATCCACATTGTTGTGTTTTGCCGTGTAGGTGAGGTTACCGAAGGCCCAATCATTCTACTCCCCGACCCTTTACCCAATTCCTTAATCTCCGTAATCCTAATCCCAAAAGGTCGGGAACGCTCTTGAAACTCCTCTGGTATCCAGTGCTTACCACCAAGTAACCAGACTGCTAATTTCCTGACCGACAACATAAAGAAACACAGATTGTTCAGTGCGGAAATTGAACCCGACGAACACGTTTTACAACTGCTCACCCAGCTATTGCGCTTACCGAAGAGTCAACAAGGCAAGTCGGCTAGTTGGAAGCGACCTGGCCCAATTTATCCTTAAAAATTAGTCATCGGTATCGCGGAGTTCATAAAAGAATTTATAAAAGACATTTTCTTATAGAATTAATTTTCCCGATGAAATAATTGAAAAGAGGGTTCAGTCAAGGGTTTACCTCTAACAATGACCTATCCCTTGAAGAAATTATTAAAAAAAAATATTGTATGATGGAAAATTTAATTGGTTCAGTACGGCCTACATACTAGGACTGTATGAAAATTACACCTATTGAGTATAATGTTACTTTAATTTATTTAATGGTTTCCATAACGTAATCATAATCACTTAAAAAGGGAAGTTTTTAAACACGATTATGAAAGTTTTTCTTTATAACGAGTGAACCTAAACGTTAATGGATATTGCTTCTATTATACAACAGTGAAATTGCTTTGGAAGGAATCCAATCAGTACTTTAATCGGATACTTATCGCAATCACAGATTTATCTCCTCTCCTTTTCTCCGATCCTAGTACTGTTGCTTATTTTGCGGCACTGTTAATGTGTTTATTTCTCTTGTGTGTTTGTTTGTGTAAATAGACAATACAGGCACACACATACACTCGATATAATACGTCCAACCTCTTTAAAACCTTCGCAGATCAAAAGCACAGCAAAAGCGTAGAACCTTATGCAAATTAGAGAGATATTTATAAAAAAATATCTCTCACTATCAAAATCAAAGAAATATTTTCAGCTAGAAAGTAAAAAAAACATAAAATCATCTTTTTCAAACAAAAGAATTACGTACATTTTTCGCTAATTTGATCACGATTTAAGTAAACAATGTATGGATGAAAAGACGAATTAATGTAAACAACACAAAATTGAACTTTGCCAGTTTAAATTATCAGTGGCGATATCACAAATGCATTTAATATCCATTAAGGCGCTTCGACACGTGATAATATAAACACCGAGTCATCGACATGAGTTCCTTCAGTCAATGCTTAGGTATTTTCAACTTTTTGATCTGAAAACTCGAACAGTGGTGAAAAAAAGCAAAAAACAATTTGATATCCTATTTTTGTTCTATAATATTAATAAGTTTCGTAAACCAATAAGTTTATGGTAAGTGTATATATTATGTATCAAATTAATTAAAAATACATACCCATTGATAATAAAAAACAGGAGTTCAATGAACTTTATCAATCACTATTTAACTTCTAATGACACCATAATAATGTAATTAATACAAATTTTAAACTTTACCACAAACGTTACAACAACGTAAAATATTGTAAAAAAAGTACCAGGGTGCCAGAAACACGTGGAGATGTAGGGCGGGCGGGGCGAGAACTAAACCGAATACTTGAGAACTAGCCCGTTCTCTACGTAACTCTGTGATTATTTACACTTATACATAGTACATTACTGTTTTTCTTGGTTAGAACGTTTTGATTGTAAAATGTAAGCTGCAATGAAAGCTTAAGAATTAGAGATTTGCGTGTTATAGACCGAGATCTAAAGTGATTTTGATGATACGTGTTTTCGAAAGTTCTTTTCGCATTCGATCCATCATCCTTTTTTTGTGGAATGTTGCTATTATTTTTTGCTCACATCTAAAATGTTGTTGATAATGATAAAAAGTGATATGGTATCTAGTAGGTTTAGATGTCATCTTTGTTTTTATGAAAGACAGAATTGATTCAACAGTCAATTTAGCCTAAGCGCCAAATGTCGATGATAAAATATTTAGCTATTTCATTGGTTAGTATTTAAGGAGCAGGATTCTCCTGCTCCAGCTACTGTTCCAGATGTCCCGCTTACTCAGCAAGTACAGCATTTTAACCCCTGACTGTACAGTCAGAGGTTAAAAATGCAATTACACTCTACCAATTTTAAAATGACTAAAATATCTTTGTAGTAAAAGTTCAATGGTTTACAGCCAGTTTGTTCAATAATTTAGATTATATGCTATAAATTAAAGCAGTCCTCAACCATTGACTCTATTCTACAAAGATATTTTGGTCATTTTAAAATTGGTAGAGTGCAATTGCATTTTTGATCCCTGACTGTACTTATAAACCATTTCTTTCGACGTGAGCACGCGGTGGTTGAAAATGTTATAAACGTCTTTTTGAATATGGCTATATGGTTTCGTTTAATGGAGGAGTCAAAAACGTGATCGACGTCTTTTTCAAGACGATTGATTCTGTGTTTCATTTAAACATTAAAATTTACTAAGGTATATAGTTTGATGGTACATATTATCATTTTTCATCATTATCAGCTGATAAGACGGAGGCTGAGACTGATAAGATGAGAAGAGGCTTTCGCTCTACTGAGCAAAGGCCTCTTCTCATACGGAGAAGGTTAGAGCATCACCACGCTTGCTCAATGCGGGTTGGCGATTTTAAACTTTTAATTGGAAATTATATATCCAGGTTTCCTCACGATCTTTACATTCACCGTATGTCAGTGGTGTCAAAATAATCATATAACTAAAGACATAATTATAACTCGGAAAAAGTAACATTGGTACTTGTTACACACTCTCATGCATAAAAAGCGGGCTCCTTAAACTCAGGGCCACCACGGCTGCGTACCTACATATTATCTGGTTTTAAGGTATGCTGGTACTGATTCCCTGGTATGTTACGGTCATCTGCAACAGGAAAACAATTTGATTACTATGCCTGGAAATAAGAAGTAAAAGGGTGATTCTTAACATCAATTAAGAAAAATTTAATAATGTCATTATCCTCAACCGAAAATTAACGAGTCTGCTGATTAAAACACAGATAATTATTTTATAAAATAAATCTCACCACTGCTTACAAGCAACCGATTAAAAATATTGTATAAAATAAATTACTAAGATGCTTAAAAACCTGGGAGGATAATGACTTGTTAAATAAAAGTTAAGGTTTTTTGGAGAATCACCCAAAACCCAAAAAATAAGTATAAAGTTCCACGGCTAAACAACATTTACATATTTATCAATATTGCAGATAATTATGCAAGTCGATAACGCCGAGCATGCAGCCCTAGTTACACTACAACGTGTCTGATCTTTATCTAGTCTCATAAATATTCATCATCGGTATCAATTCTTGCTCAACAAACTCCATTCATTGCCCAACTATCGTTGAAAACATGGCGATACAACTTTTGATTCTTCTTTTTCTAACAATGTTTAAAGTGGAAACCTTTCCAACAAAAACCTTCCAAATAAACCAACAACAAACTAAAAACTATGAAGTTTTCAAAGATATTTTGATACAAAATCTCATAGTGACGACTGACAATTTGAAACTGATTCTTAATTTGGAACGAGAGGACACTTATTATAAAGTGCGTGATGAACTAATTGATTACAAAAATAATATAATTCCCAAACAAAATGATTTGTGGAAAAACTTCAAAGGTGATAACGATAAAGCATTCAAAGTCACTAATGATTCTAAAGATTTCAAAAAGCGCTCAACGGACTTACCAGAAGATCATGAAACGCAAGGACATGTTAAAGGACAAGATGACAAAGTTAAAGAAGATAAAGTAAATCGACAAGTCTCAGAAGAATTATCGCTCATGAAAAGCCAAGAAAATCTTTCCAACTATGATAACAGTGATTCTTTACAATTTGACACTTCTTCTGATTCGGAGAAGACGAAAAGACAAGCTGGAGATGACTCTGGTCTCCCAATACGAGGTGATGGAGATACGCAAATGTTTATGGGAACTTTTCAAGCAGTAATGAGACCAATGAAGTTGCCTAGTTTATCTTGAAATAGTATCTGAGAAACGTGTAATTAATATCAATGTTGGTGATGGTATTTTATTAATGATTTGTTACTAAATTAATAAATAACAATGTCAATTTAATGACACGTTACTCATTGACTATTTTTCGAAGTACATTATATTTCCATTGGTTTTCATTATTTTCTATATGTTTACACGCTTCTTATGTCTAAATGAATGTGAGACATCATTTTGGGCTATAAGACACCGTTATTTTCTTTCTTTATTTATTTATTAAAAACGTTCCCTTACACTAGAATATTCTCCAATATCGAGAGAGCATTGAAAAACATTCAATCACACATACAAATTAAACCCATATTAAAGGACCGAGTTTCAATGTAAGAAAGGCTCCTGGAGTGGTGTCACAGCCCCAGAGACAAACCGGGAGGCGTGGAACAAAAACAGCGTTGTATTTCATCGTGTGTTAGATTACCGGGGGCCCAGTTCATCCTGAATCCCTAAATCACCAAAACCCCTTAACCCCAAAACGCGACAACGCATTTATTTACACCTCCTCGGGTATTGCGAATATACATATATGAGCAGCATTGAGTGCCAATAAACCATCTGTTAATTTCATCACTTTTTATTTCTCAAATAGAACTTTAAAATGTAAATGCCGATCTCGAACTCCTTACACTAAACAGTCGGTTTCCCGATTCCCTATGTCCTACGCGATCATTAAACTATTTGATTGATAGTCAAGTTCTCCTTGTAAAGATAAGATCATAATTCTGTTTATAAATGTTATTTGATTAGTTACTAAAGTTTTAGTTAAACAAACTTAAACGTTAGAAGTGACAGAAGAAAGTAAATATTTGACCGCCATCTTTTCAATAATGAACGACCATTAATACTGTTACGTTGCAAGATTATATAAAGTTTGGATAGTCCATAATTTTTTTTTAATGTTGCTGACACGAAGAGGCAATTGCTAAAGTAAACACATGCATCTCTGCTTAACTCTTGTAAGAATAAATGCGTGATATTGTGTTAACTATATAAAGTACTTTGTCTTTCGTCAGCTGCATGCTTAATATATGAGTCGTTTTGCGCAGCCTTTTGCTGACGCCAGTCACTTTTGAAAACGTACGGACTCCCTATCTGAATATAAAACATTGTTGGGTGTTTTCTTCATAATTTAAACTAACAGTAAAAGTATAAATTAAAAAAAAACACTTTTTCTTTGTTTGAAAATACTTAAAAGTTTTATGAAATATATTTCAAAACATGCACAATGTTTTGTAATGCAACACTAGAGCTGCATTTTTCACATTAAATGCATTATTTTAATGATGATGATGATTTAATTTGACTCTGAAACACTAGGAGATACTGACCTCAACCAAATGCCATCTTAACTGTTGTGGTGGCTCGGAGGCCATTGACTGCCAACAGATTACTGTTGAGAGTAAATCCTCCGCCAGCGTGTCCCACATGTTGGGGGACCGTGGCGTTCAACGGGTTAAGGCACCCGCTTCTCATAAATTAGGGTGCGGGTCCAAAACCTGGCAGGTACCAATATGACGTTTTCCGTGTTATATGTATTTTCTAGGATTATGTAGACACCACTGACATACTGTCCTGCGGTCGGCGAGTAAGGGCAGCTCGCCGCCCGACCAGAACCAGGCCCGAGCGTACGGCGCGTAGCGTTCTGCGCGCGCCTCAAAGAGCCATTAGACCACTACAGACGGGGCCCTAAAGGGCTGATGTTCAGCCGGGGTTGCGGGGTAAGCGCAATGAGGCACCGCGACCTCGGCACAGAGCAGGTGAAGGAACAGGGGGGTTTTGAGTCAGTAAGAGTCTGACACACCCTCCTGCCCGGCCCTGGGCGGGAGATGTCATTTGAAGATTTTCCCCTCACAAAAAAAAAACTCAGCTGACCTCGCCCCTGACATACTGTAAAGAAAAACATCGTGAGGAAACCCGAACTTATAATTTGTAATTATAAGTTTGAAAACGCCAATCTGCCTTGAAAGAACGTAATGATTAATGCTCAAACCTCCGAGTGAGAAGAGCCCTTTGCTCAGCAGTGGGCATTTATAGACTGACGAGGTGTATCTGATATGATCTTTGCACAAATGTAACGAAACTTATTTTTTTATAACATCAATAAATATTAAGCTAAGCTATAATTGGGTAGTTTCCTAGGTCAAAAATAAATTATTTCGACGTCTCAATACAATAAAATACTGAATAAAAACTATACTTTTATTCATCAATCGATCGATACACTAATTTGTACACTAAATTATTTTTTTAGCTAATTATTAAGAAATAAGTAAGCTATTTGACGCAAAAAAGTTATGACGTCATAGCTCAGTTTTTCATACAAATTTCATAGAAAAGTATCGTTTTTGACGTTTGGATAAAAGTATTGAATTTGACTAGTTGGAAACTACCGTATTTTCAATTTTGTTTTATTTTTATATCACTCTAATAACTTATTCTGGGATTCTTATCCATAGTTTTGTAATCCATGATCTTGATAAAATAAAATCAAATAATTATTTCTTGTGGCTTACGACAACACTCAGGAATAAATTAAAATTATTCATTTGTTTCATTCTTTTTCTGTTCAAAGTTAGTTTTACATCAAAGTACTACTTGATAGACTTTCCTTGCCTATGAAAATTAAGGTATTTCCTACGTAAGTAATAAATAAAAATTAACTAGTAATAACCATTCTAACGGAAATAAATTAAGTTCGATAAAATATACTTACATACTTCATCAATTTATGCGAACCTAGTACATGATTCGAGTATATTGCACTTTTTATTTATTTATATGTATTTTATCCCTGAAAAATAATTTTAAATTGATGCTTGTAGGTACCAGGGCCCCATGAAGTCTGGCAGTCAGAAGGAGTGTGTGGTGACTGGAACATTATGTCTCATGCTGCGGATGTCACAACTGGCTGGAGTCGCACCGATCCGTTTCCGACGCATGCACGGTGGCTGGTGCATACGCGTCTCCCGGCTTGCTAACTTCTATGGAAAATCTCTATCATTTATGCTATGTGGGTACCACATTCATCAAAAATCAGGAAACTCGAAACTAAAAGTAAAATATCTCTTTTTTATTTACACCATAAGGCGCCAAATGAGCAGAAGTCTCACCTGATGGTAAGCGTTCGGAGTTACCAACACCAAAAGAGTTAAAAGTGATTGCCACCATTTTGAAAGTTCTTAGTTTAGTTCTTAGTAGAGTTTAGGGAAGGGCGGGAAAAGACTGGGTCCAGTAACCTCACCATGAAACATGACACAAGATGATGGCGGTGGTTGCAGCTTAGTTCACATCTGTTTTCTGTGAGACCGTATTATTATTATTAGTTTCACTCCGGTCGAGCCAGTTCATTAGGCTCTCCGAAATTGTTTATTTAGGCACTCCATGCTTTTATAATAACTATCGTGAGACATACTAAATTAACTAAAAATCGCGGGTTACTCACGTGTATATATTGAGAAAAGCTCTACTAGTTTTGAACCACAGAGGGGTTCTTCCTCATGAGCAGCGTGCGCGGACGCGGCGACGTCGCGCAGCCTACTAGTAGAGCTTTTCTCAATATATACACGTGAGTAACCCTCGATTTTTAGTTAATTTAGGCACTCCATGTTAATAAATATGATATTTTTTTTAATTAAATGTGAATCCTTTATTCATCCAATTTACTAGTATTGCCAAACCGTCTCAAAAATTTTAGTTAGCTCGTATATGTATTCTTACCGTTTCAAACCCGTCAAATTATTACCAGGGCTATTGTCAACAACTACAATAGCTATGGACATCCTCATTGAGCCGGAGAGGTCGTATCGCACCCGTACAAATTCGACCCGCATCGTTTGGGTAGCTGATGTGGGCACTGTCGGCCTGGTCGTCTGCACTGCTGCCTTCACTGGCTTCAGCCGCACGAAATGTCTGATGGTGTATTTGTTAAAACTGCAAGAGGTTGGATTTCATTTACGCGTTCTTTTTCATTTCAGTCACATTTTCTCTGTCTCTCTCGCTATCTGTTTTCCACCTTTCTTTATATCTCTTTCTTCTTCTATACCTTTCTTATAATCTTTTTTTTTTTAATGTTAAAATTCTAATATTTTCGTAAGTTTTCTGATTTAAATGGCAAGCGATGTTGATTGATGATTGATGATTTGTTAACACCTGTAACACCATGTTTCATGGAAATAAATATATTCCTATTCTTATCTCTCTCCCTTTCTTTCGTTCGCTCGAAATTGGTTTAACTTTTGGTCCACATTTAATTTTGCTTCTGCTCCTATTTAATTTTTTCAGATAAACTTAAAACTTAGCCTGTACCATGACGAACCATCTAACGAGAGTGCGAGGAAACTGATAGCAGTCAGTTCCATGATCTTTACCAGTTCAACCATACTTCTGGACTTTGGCATATACATCTACCAAGTCGCTGTTGATCACGGGAAAAGTATGAGTCTTAGATCCACTACGATAACTAATTTTTCGGGGTCCCATAGGGTTGATGTCCAGCCGGGGTTGCTGGTTAAGCGCAATAAGACTCCGGCCTCAGCCTGCAGCAGGAAAATGAATGGGAGAATTTTAGTCAGTAAGAGTCTGGCAATCGCTCTCACTCACATTGTGTGAGAGAAATTCATTTGATGATTGCAGTCATATGATGGTTTTCCCTTCACAAAAATAAAGTCTAAAATAAGATTATGTTTAATTTTACTAACAAACGTCATAGCCTCATAGACCTTTCTAAAAATGTCCAAAACTTACTGCTTATTCAGAGGTTCACTTTTATAATAATAAAGAAAGAGAAATATTTCTATTCTTCTTAGAAATATTTCTATTCTTCTTACCATATCAGTCATAATCGAGGCTATAACTTTGTTAAATATTTTTTTAAGACATCTTGTAACAATATTCATCACAATTTGTACAATATTTTTGGTAACATACCATTTTATTACTTTTCCTCGTCATATCATAGAAAGACTTTTTTTTCAAAAGAGACAGATGACAAATCTCGCATTCTCTGAGTTTCTACTTAGAATTTTAGAACGGTAAAGGTTAATGTTTCACAATTGCTTTCTTTCAGTGTTCACATCATGCATGTATATCTTCTACAATATATCGACAGCAGTACAGCAGGTCATTCTGATCACATTCTCAGAAACTGCGACCGGTGTCTACACCTCACTACTCTCGCTCAACAACTGCTTGAAGAACCTTCTCGAACAAATCGTCCATGACTGTAAGTTGAACTTAATAAAGAGTAACAATGGAGTTTCTTGTTCGTTCTTCTTCGTTCGAATAATCTTATGACGCTGGCGGACTATTATTTTGACTTTGACTTTGAAGTACTTATATCTAGTGAATTTACAGACAACGCCTTTGTCATCCAGGTAATTCTAAGAATTCTGTTTCAGATTAAAATTCTTAAATAGAGCAAAACAGGTCTGCTACAATCGGCTTCAAAAAGACTTACTTAAAGTTTTTACTTAGTCTAAAATTGACAGAAATCGGTAAAGAGCGGTCGCCAGTACAACTGCTAGATTCTCTTCTAGCTTCTTTTGGATTTGAGTGTGCCTTAGTGCAAAATTTTATAGTTAACCAAATACATGCAATTCATTATTGCGATGAAGTTGACATAACTAAGGAACAATAATTTCCTACTAGCTTCTGCCAACGGTTTCTCTCGCAATGCCAGGGTAAAATGTAATCGTCGCCAACGCCAACTTTCATTCAGTATTTCATAATAGAATAACAAATATAAATTAACTTAAAACTGCCATGCTTATAAACATTCCTATTTTTTTCAAAGTTTTAAAAGCAATAAAAATAAAACTGAAAAATTAAAATCTAGCAATAAACTATTATTTGTAATATTAATCGACGGTATTGTTTACAGCACCGGAAGCTAGGAATTCAATTCTAAACCAGGACTGCAGAATAGATATTTACAATACAATATCCAGCAAATCTATCAATAGTGTCGTTGATACTATGACTGTGTACAGAGGTACGTTACTTAATTTTGTTTCGCGATAAACCACTATTGCATATCATATAATTTTGCCTCTAAAAATGATTTACCATATAACGTACTTGACATACTAATATCAGCTTTGATCCCACGAATCAAATTAGTCACTTTAAACTACAAATAAATGTGAAAATATTTTTTATCTTACCTTCCTTATTCACATTACACGAATTGTTCTGCATCCTAAGGGCTGAATACCACCAGGAATTAAATTCGCTACGACGCTACTTAATTTCAAACTAAAGCGTAAATAAATATTATGGATATTAGGTGTAATGTTTTATTAAAGGTATAATTATCAATTTCTTATTTCGTAGCTCGACCAAAGCCACCTCCACACCCTCTACCAATCATGATCCGTCGCTTAGGGCTACTGTACTGTTCCCTGTGCGATGTGGTTCGTGACGTTAACGATAGCTACGGAACAGTTCTGGTCGCCATGTTGCTGTGCCTTCTCCTGCATCTGGTCATCACCCCGTACCACGTCATCACCAATATTTGTTAGTTCATTAACTTTATTTCTATTACAAAAACTTTGCTATTAGACTCTATCAGTTCTTAGTTTTCAATCAGGCGCTTATAGAACTTTAATATATTTTTAGCGCAAAAGAAATTAGGTGATGGTTTGTTATTGGTTTTCGTATTCCACAATTATTTTAATACAGAATTATAATTTTAACATTTTAGAAGTCTTTTGATACAAATACGCCTTTGTAGGCTTAAGTGTGAAAACTAAGGGTAAAAAAAGATTTCACAAATATCGCAATTAAAGCCTTACAACATTGTTTTACAAATCATACAAATTTAAAATTTGGTCTCCTTACAGTTAACAAATCGAGATCAGACAGGTCTAGTCCAACTTTGCAACTGAATTGGGCTGTACTGCATTTCATAAATTTGTTGTTAATCATTGAGCCCTGTCATCGAACTCATGAAGAGGTTCGTTCATTCTTTGATATGGGTAAAACGTTAACCTCCTACCCTTTTTGTTCACCTAGTAGCTGCATAGTAAAAATTATACTGCTTTCCTTATTTTGCTTATCTCATTAATTTGTAACTACAGTACCTACAGCACAGGCTATCAAGTGTTTCTGTGAAGCTTTTAGAATTTAACCTAATTATTACTAATCATTTTCTTCAAGATGAGACGGACCCGCCACCTAATCAGTCAGATGTTACGTCACACGTCTACTGAGAATAATGCATTACTATCTGAGCTGCAGATATTCTACCAGCATCTGAGTTTAAATGAAGTATCCTATGCACCCTTGAAGATGTTCCCTTTAGACAGGACTCTAATTGTCACGGTACCATTCTTATATACATATTTTTAATTATCCTATTATTAACATATTTCCAGTTTCAAGAACTTAGTAGATTAAATACAATACAGTACATACATGTCGTGGTGGCCCGGAGGTTAAAGCGCCCACTTCTCATGTATGAGGGTGCGGGTTCGAAACCCGGCAAGTACCATTGTGACTTTTTCCAAGTTATATGTACTTTCTATGATTATTAAGACACCACTGACATACGATGAAGGTAAACATCGAGAAGAAACCTGGACCTATAATTTCTAATTATAAGTTTGAAATCGCCAACCCGCATTGAGCAAGCGTTGTGGTTAATGCTCAAACCTTCTCCTTGTGAGAAGAGGCCTTTGCTCAACAGTGGGCGCTTTTAGGCTGATGATGATGATTAATACAATACATACAAAACTTACTCAGGGTTCGCAGTTGGGACCAAGGAGCGAATAATTTTTCAAATGATTAACATTTTATTTTTCAGATTCTTGGAAGCATTACCACTTACTTAGTAGTAGTTGTTCAGCTTTAAACTAAAAAATACTGTGAAAACAAGAATATACCACACTCAATACTATTTCGTTATGTGATATTTTACTTCATTTCTACAATAAATCATGTGCGAAATTGATGTGTTATTTATCTTCTTTCTTACTATTGTATTCTTCCAAAAGATTTTCAGTCGTAAGGATACAATCTTCAATATCCTTAGGATTCAAATCTAATCCAAACATGTGTTCGAATCCAAGAAATACTTTACCATATTTATGGAACATACCAGTAGTATCGTCATCCAATTTAAACATAGCTTTTCTTTTAAAAATACCGTCTATTGCATTATCGTCAAAGTTGTTTATTACTTTATTTTCTTCAATTTCATCCAGACCTTTCATGACAACATTACTGTTACCATATTCGTAAGCTACAGTAGTTCTTGCTCCTTTAGATTTATCAGTGTCTCTTTTAATCACATTTTCTTCCTTTGCATTAGTTTCGCGTTTACCTCTATCTCTTTCTTCACAAGATTCAATTTCCTCTGCATTTTGTCCATCAAGGTTTCTCTTGAACATCGTGACGTCGTTATTCTCCAAAATTTCTGGTCTGACTTCAACTACATTTAGTAAATATTCAAAGAGAACTGGTATGCTTCTGAATATTTGTATGTATTCAAAATATGGATGATTTTCTTCGTTTGCTTCTATAATAAATGTTTTTGCATAAGATTTCAAACTTTTTATAACGATTTAAAATGATTGATATTTAATTTAGTTACAACCAGGTTTAAGGTATCTGTATGTAATATATAATTAAAATATTTTGGAAAGTTACCTTCAGAAGCACCGTTTACTCCCAGAACTTGAAAATAGAATAGAACCGCGATAATTGCATACACTTCTTTAGTCTTCATTATTTATTGCACTACGACTAGTTGTGACCCATTCGTATGCACAAATGCGAAAAAACTGTAGACACCTTAAAGTGCATAATTTGTATTGATAAGATAAATTACTGTTAACATATTCAACTGCTACAAGACTAAGGGCCCTTTCCTAATAGTATGACTGTATAATTGGCGCTTCAATTTTCTTTACTGCACTGTTGGCGTTGGAGCTGTGAAAAAAGCTGCCGCGCAGCATGCATGTGTCGTGGGTTCTGTTCCCGCACGGAACGACTCTTTGTGTGATCTACAAATTATTGTTCCGGGTTCAGACCCGGAACAATAATCACACTCAGGTTTGATGTGTATGTTTGTAAACGCACCCACGACACAGGAGAAAATGCTAGTTTGGAGCAACGATTTTTTTAAGTGTTGTCTGCAGTGTTAGGTATTCTGATTTTTTATGTGATACGCTGGCGAAGATAAATTACCTGATGGCAACCGGGGCCGCGCACGTGGTTTCACTCTAGTTTGACCGAGACAGATGTAAAATTATGATTTCATTACTGAAAAGTCTTAAACACACTCAAAAATTATATAAAAAATGTTGATAATAAAGTCACTTGAATTTTCTGAGAGATGCTCCACTAGTTTCAAGTCGTAACGGGACTTCTTTTGTTCATGAGCACCGTGCGTGTCGCGGCAAAGTTATATTTAAGATATATATATACGGGATTAGACATACTGCACTCCGTCTACTAAAGTCATATTTAGAGGATAGGCAGCTGAGAGTTCATGTAGGTGGTTCTAACTCACGGGGCTCTGAGATAAGAATTAGCGTACCGCAAGGTTCAATTTTGGGTCCGTTTCTCTTCTTAGTGTATGTTAATGACTTGCCATTTCTATTTAAAACCGAGCCAAGAATGGTGCTGTTTGCAGATATTACATCATTAATTTTTAGAATAGGTCGACGTGTTAATAATTTTGACGAAGTAAACAGATCCATTCATCAAGTTCATAATTGGTTTACAGTCAATAATTTATCACTTAACGAGAAAAAAACAAAATGTATTAAATTGAGCTTGCCCAACGTACACAGTAATGATTGTGACATAATTTTAAATGGGCAAAAGTTAGAATTTGTTAACGAGACTATGTTCCTAGGTATTACACTAGACAATAAACTTCAATGGGGTTCCCACATAAAGACGCTTTCGGGAAGACTGAGCTCAGCTGTTTTTGCAGTTAGACAGATTAGACAGCTCACAGACGTGAACACAGCAAGGCTTGTTTATTTTAGCTATTTTCACAGCATTATGTCGTACGGAATTTTGCTGTGAGGTCGAGCTGCGGAAGTAGATTCAATATTTATTTTGCAAAAGCGGGCTATCCGAGCGATATATAACTTGCCCCCTCGTGAATCTCTGAGAAAACTATTTAAAACGATAAATATCCTAACGGTACCTTGTCAGTTTATATATGAAAACATTATGTACGTAAGGAAAAATTTGCAATTATTTGAAAAAAGAAGCGATAGACATAATTTTAATACAAGAGGCAAAGATAGGCTGGCTGTGCCACGATTCCGTCTGTCCAAAGTACAGAAATCCTTTATGGGGTTCTGTGTAAATTGTTACAATAAAATTCCAAGAAATGTATTAAATTTTAGAGGTATGAGGAACAGGGTGGAAAGTTCCTCATCCTCCATTGAAAAGGGAGGATCCTCCGACCAGGCGAGGTGTTCGTGCCTGGTGGGCTACTGCCCGACGGTTGTTGTCGGGATATCTGTATGGGTGCTAATTGTGTGGAAAACTCTTATAGCGCGATGTAGATTCTTGCTCGTGATTGGTGCTGTTGTTTATGTAGTGCGCTAGATGTCGCTACAAAATCTTAATGAACGAAAATTTAAAACTTATATTAAACGCGAATTATGTAGACAGGCATACTACAAACTTTCAGATTATATTGAGGACAAGAATGCCTGGCATCATGTTGGTTCGGCTCCACTGGACAATACTCAAATATGTAGTCAGTAGTTATTGAAATTCTCAAAATTAATGAAACCTTGAATGAGTTTATATAGAAGCATTCTTTTGGATTGTGAGTACGCATATGTGAGCGCCATGTTCGAGATAACAAAGGATTAAAATTTTAATGATAGATTAGATAGACCATCATTTGTTCCTTTTTATTAACAACTTGTCTCTGCATTGTTCTCACATAGGGGTACAGTAATGTATAAAAAATGTATTATTTATGAATTGTAAAACAAATATTTTTTTTAAAAGAGTAACGATGGAGTTTCTTGCTCGTTCTTCTCCATTCGAAACTACAATTTGGAACGAGCACCTAGCTTCACTGACGAACAGACTGACAGACTACTATTCTATTTTGACGTTTCAAAAGTACCTATTTATGGTTTATTTGGAATAAATGATTTTGATTTGATTTGATTTGATTGAAGACTTCAAAATGTTGAGATCGAATTTTAATACTTCATGATACGGATTATCTGTCTGATATTGATGATGATGACAATAAGAGACTGAGGGTTGTCGCCTTAAATCTCAAACGAAAATTATCCTTACTTCACATAAATAACGTATTTGTAGACTGTACAATTCAAAAGTAATCAACAAGTTTTAAGTGGTTAAAGTTAGCTAAGGAGGCGGCAAAATAAGCTTTAAACCACTATCTCCACGGTTAACCCAGTTTTAACATCAGTGCATAATTACTTAAATAGGTGCAAACAACCCTTTTTCACCTTAGTATGTATTCCTGCAACAAAATGAATTCAGTATGGGGGAGCCATGCTTCGGCACGAATGGGTCAGCTCGACCGGAGTGATACCACGGCTTTACAGAAAAACGGCGTGAAACAACTACAGCGTTGTATTTCGCCATTCCAAAATCTCCAAATCCCTAATCCCCAAAAGGTCGGCAACGCACAAGTAGCGCCTCTATAGTTGCAAGCAATCAGGTAATCCGTCTGCTCGTTTGCCGACATAAAAAAAATTACCCAAATACTATAAGTATAATGCTATCTATATAATGTTTGAATTTATCAATTTTTTTCTATACTCCCAATGTATGCATCTTCCTATAATAGTTATATCTCTGTTAATATTTCTGTTTTTCCTATTTACAATACATAATATTTCCTGTACCTATTTTTCACTGATTTCTGTTCTTTATCCAAAGGTTTATTATTTGTGTGGTAGGTATTCACTAGCAGTAAATAGTTGAATTCAAGACGGCGTTGCCGGGCTTCGTCAATACGAGTATGGAGTCGCTAAGCTAGCTCTTACGCCACACACACGTAGCTTGATTTCACAGCATAGGGACATCTCATATCCTTATTGAAAATTCATTTGTGGATTAAAAGGCGTTCCTACTGTCATTAAACATTATCAATTGCGCTGGGGTTATTAAACAACCAACCTATAGTTTTCCAAACAACCTGTATATGATACCTAACTGTAAAAACAGAATATAAGTTCGTGGAACTGATGAAAATTCTTAAGTAGTTTTTAACGTATAGTTTGTTTTTCTTAAATGCAGATTACCTCCGTGTTACAAATAGGTAGGTAGGAGCGGTGGACATATGTGAATTATTCATTTTATATAGATACTCATTTTCAAAAAGCAGGAAATGATTACTCTTATATTAGAATCGTTTTTTCATTCTATTTTTGGCCTCAAAATTACAGTCAACGAAATATTTTAAACATCATTTAGGTTTTATATTGCAAATGTAACCTATTTTTTTGTTACAATAATATTTTTGACTAGCTACTCTCGCGCGGTTTCACCCGCTGCTCGGCCCCATTTAGTCTTAGCGTGATGTTATATAGCCTATAGCACTCAGGAACATTGTAGCTATCTATTAGTGAAGTAATTTTGGAATTCTGACCAGCGGTTTCAAAGATTACCCCCTACATACAAACTTACAAATTTTACCTCTTTATAATATTAGTATAGATGATAACAAGTTGCAATGCGGAACTCCAAAGCAATATCGATATTTTGTGGGTTTTTTTTAGGGGGGAAAATCATTAAATTTCATTTATCAAAAAAAGAGTGGGGCGGTCAGTCTTTCTGAGTGTGATGAAAGGGAGTGTCAGACTCTTACTGACTAAAACCGCTCCGTTTCTTCACCTACTCCGGGCTATTGCACTTGCATCTGCAACCCCGGCTGAACAAAGGCCCTAGAGCATCAAATCGAAGGTGTTCTAATAAAAACCTTTGAGTACTCCGGTCTGGTTCTGGTCGGTCGGCGAGCTACCCTTGCTCATCATCCACAGAACGCGCTTACTGCGCTGGGCAAATTAATAATTGTAAGATTTCTCCTTATCCAAATAAAGTTGACCTGGATTGTATAGTAAATAGTAATAGGCTATGTTAGTAAGTTATTATTAAAAGTTGAAAATACAATAACTACGTGCACACTTGATTCCTGCTACCCCCGAATATAATGTAATGATACTAGTTTTTTTTTCGTCGACGTCCGAAGATGTGGACGTGGTAGCCCGGAATGGTCGTGGTGGCCTGGAGGTTGAGGCTCCCGGCTCCTAATGCATAAGGGTGCGGGTTACAAACCTGGCAAGTACCAATGTGACTTTTACCGAGTTATATGTACTTTCTATGATTATTTAGACACTACTGACATACTGTGAAGGTAAAAATCGTGACG